TTACAAAGATTCATAGCGCTCTCAAGTTTAGGCAGTCTCCGTGGATGAAGGAATATATTGAGGAAAATATTCGTAAATGCAGAATAGCCAAGGCAAATGGGGATGAGTTTGGGGTCGTGTATTATAAGCTAAAAAATAATGCAGTCTTCGGCAAGCAGATGGAGAATGTCCGTAAACATATGAGAGTAGAATTACTCCGAATAGAAGAGGATAAAAAAATCAGGCGTCTAGCAAGTTTACCATTATATGTATGCTTTAAAGCATTCGAAGGGGGTATCACAGCAGTCCACATGTTAAAAAGCACAGTGACTCTAAACAAACCAATCTATGTAGGGCAGGCAATTCTCGATATTAGCAAGGCCATAATGTTTAACTTTTGGTACGGTTACATAAAGCCTCGCTATGAAGATAAGGCTCGTCTACTTTATACTAATACAGACTCGCTCATTATGTAGATAGAAACAGATGATATCTATAAAGATCGAGCAGAGAGGCCAGACATTTTTGATCTTAACTATTCAGGTGATTTATTTCTAATAAAGGATGAGACAAAGAGTATACCTATAGGGGAAACAGTATGTTTAAAGCCAAAGATGTACTCAGTCCTTCTAGCGGGGCATGATCCTAAAACTCCTGATGACCCAGATTCTAAAGACCCTAAAAAGAAGCACGGTATCCAAAAGGCAAAGGGTGTAAAGAAAAGTGTGGTCAAAAGAGAGCTTCAACATGATAAATTTCTAGAATGTCTTAGGAATAAGAAACTAACTCGGCATGACATGTATGGTCTTTGCAGTTATGATTATCAAATATATCTGGAAAGGGTGAATAAGATAGGGTTAAATCCATATAATAACAAATGCTGGATCTTACTTGATGGAATTCAAACTCTTCTCTACGGACATTGGCAAATTGGATTATATAAACACCTGGTAGCATCTGAAATATCTCCTGAGCAAGCAGAAAAAAGAGCTATGAAAGCTAAACTTTGTATCAAGGCATAGATGCTTTATAACAAATATTTTTTCAGGTAAAAAAAAAATTCTAAAGAATATATTTTTATTAATTAAAGTTTTTTTATTGCTATAGTAAAAATATATAAAATGGTTGATCATAAAGATATAGAACTTGCGCAAATCAAAGTCATAAAAACTGCATTGCGAAAGGGCAGAAAATATGATAATCTTGCGAAAAATTATGGAGGCTATCTAAAGAAATTGCGAGCTGAAAAGAATTTGAATGATTATATTAAGACAATTGCAGTCAAGATGTTTCCTAATAAAGAGGCATACACTCTAAGGCTAGAAAATTATCGCAAAAGGTATGCAGATAATAATCTGTATATCAGTCTAGAGGAATTATATAAGCTTTATTATCAAATAGCTAAAGAGGAGAATCGTGAAAGGTCAGATGATGAAATAGAGCAGATGCTCAAAGCAATGGCAATCTAGAATAAACAAATACGGTAGACCATCTCCTGCAGATCATTAGAGAGTCCTTTATGGACTGGGATCAAGAGAGTAGCTGTCCACCATTTTCCTAATGCTATTCTTGAGATCACAATTGAGAGATATATTTTTATATTAATATTTTTTTCTTATAATTGGCGGTGTCGAAGTGAAATAAAAATCTATGAAGTGTATGTCCCCTTTTTTTCACGATTGCCATCAAAGATCTAGCGATCCTCTCATACTAATTAATTCGTGAATGAACGGATCGCCAAATCCGAAATTAGCTTAATAGAATCTGCAAATTAGTTTTGTTAGTCATGAGAAATAAACTATATAAAAAAGCTAAGTATAAGTAATTTCATTATTAAAAACTTATCTGGTAACTCATCATTATTATGTCTCTTACTAATCTTCAAAATCTCGCCTTGAATATTTTAAAAGAAACAAAACATAACATAGTACAAGATATCGTTGTTACAGAATTGCCACCATGTAAACTATGTGAAAACAAAATATTATCTGTTAATTTCGAATCATTTACAATACTTTCATGTAGACATATATATCATAGAAAATGTATAGAAAAAAATTTTTACTTACAACAGAAAACAAATGCCCTTTATCTGATTGTAATAAAATATTGATCTAGTAGTATCTGAACGAAAGTTTTCTGAATCATCATCTCAGTCTAGTGAAACTTCTGCTCTTGCAGAAATGTTAGGCGATGATTTTGGATTAGGTTCTCCAATGGCTGTATTACTATTATTAGCTCAAAAAACCCCACTTTATGAAAGTAGAACACAAAAAAAACGTATTATAGAATTACCAGATAAATCTGATAAAAGACAGAAGTCAACTACTAAGGAGGGCGAATCTTCTACAGTAAAAAAAACTTATCAAAGAATTAAAAGATGATAGTGTTAACAAAGATTTAATATTTCCCTCTCAGTTATCTGAAGATAGTTATACTTATCTTTATAAAGAAATAGTTAAAGCTGAAGCTAATAATGATATTGCAAGTCAAAAGCTTTTAAACTGCTACTTTTATTTCAGTAAAAAATTATCTGATCGCTTGAATTATTATAAAAATAAAAAAAAATATTGAGATTGTAAGGCTTAAAGTAAAGTAGATAAAGAAGTAAAAAACCAACTACCTAAAGAGGTTAATGATACTACACATTGAAAACAAACAGAAAGAGCTAAAAAAATATATAAACTTTTCATTGAAATTAGTATTGATAAAATAGAATAGGTTAAATCTTATTTGGCTCTAACTATTTCAAAATTAAGTTGGGAGAGCATTGACTATATTGTAGATAACATTAAATCATAAAATCATATATATACTGCATATTGTGTAACTGTTACATAGCTAACCTCTAGGTCAGCAACTTTTATTTTATTTTATTATTTTTGCTGTATATCAGGGAATGTTATAATAAATTTACATAAATTCACTTTTAAACATTTTATAAAACCAAATTTCATATACATATGTATAACTAGTATTTTTACCTTATAAGGCTTATACATAATTTGTTTATAAATGAATCACAAACACAAGTGCCCCACAGTTTGTATAATAAAAGTTTTAGCCATGTTATATTTTTTCTGTTAATATATAACAATGAAAGGTCAGAATAACACATTTACACATAGAGATAAACAAATTTACTTCAAAAAGTGGCATATCTTTGGGGGTTGGAAGCATGGGTATAATGTTTGTGATGAATGCAATCATCATTCATATCTATATTGTAAGACATGCAAAAAAGTAGCAAATGGAATATATAAGTGATGTGAATGTGAAAATTATAGAATAATTAAAAATAATGGTTTAATATAATAAAAATTTTTATATTAATTCATTAAAATTAAGTCCTGGTGTGACTTATTATCTTCAGAAGAGATTTATGATATTATCACTTCCCAATGCTATACAAGTTTTACCAAAGAAGTATCACATATCATATGCATACATCATGTGACAATAAATGCTTGGAATATGTAATACCAATTCGTTATATCTTATTATCTACGTAGCAAAGAAATTCATTAACATGATAGAATTAAAATACATAAATCTGAATAAGCGATAATAGTTTAGCAGTTAAACAAAATTTATCATTATCAGTGTCTGTATTTATTAGCATAATAATTCTGCATATAAAATTTATTTGTATCACTTTGCACATAGAAATTTTTATTTTTTATTTTTCTGAAATTAGACCAAATCTTATAATTTTTAGTGGTATATAGACATATATATATACTGTAGTACATTTTCATGTAATTATTACAGTTCCAAAATACTTATACAGTGGTTGAAATTCATACAAATACTGTAGATGTTAAACAAACATTAAAAATGGAAGGTTATAGAGATTCACATGCATAATTTATTTGGTTATTGCAGAGCCCCAGAATGTCTTAAACTAAATTCGGTCAATAGATTACATTTCAATTATATTAAAAAGCTGATAGCATGAGTGTTCAATTTTTATTTAAAGCAAGTCTCAATATGCTACCGAAAATATATTTTATTTCATATATTTTAAAATAGGTTTCTTAGCATATTTCTTAATAATGATTTTTTTATAGTAAATAATTCGAGTAATTTTTACATGTTTTGTTGACAAAATGTTCCCAGCAAAAAGGAGATTAAAAGGTATGGCAAATTTTTCTGATGTTTACTAATGCAAGTTAATATTTTAAAAATAAGATGAACTTTGAAGTTGAAAATTTTGTTTATATCGAAGGAGAGTCATCAGTGAAGAAAAGAAAAAGATTTGAGTTGTTCTGCATTATGTTAATAAAAAGAATTTTAGCTTCTTTAGGAGTTAAAGTCATACATACAGGTAAGTTTTCTTATTGAGTTATATATTGAATCATTATGTATCTGAAGGTATGCTGTCATATCAGTGTAAATCATCTGGAAATTGAAAGCACATCGGGCCACATTTAATTATGTAAATGTTCTTCCTAGTTACCAATGATCTTGCTGAAGCTTTTAGACCGGTGATTTAATGATAAAAAAAATACATGTTTGCTTAACTATATATGATGATGATATATGCACTCATATTTTTAATATTAATTTAGAAAGCCTAGTGACAAAGGAGAGATATTATTTGTGAAATTTATGGGCTTACATTCATAATCTAGTGTAAGGCTTGATATAAGAAAAATATAGGTGTGTTAATATTTATATTGACCTACTTTAATAATCTTTGACTAATCGATAATTATTTATTAGATCAGTCGCATATGGACGAATTGGAGATGGTGATAAGAAGAGAGAAATAATAATTTGGATACAGTGGTTAAGAAAGGAAGGTTTTCATTTGGAATATTGGTAGGTGTTGATATTTGTAAAATTTTAGATGAGGCAATAGATAGGGCTAGAATGTCAGAATGCGATATTGGTGTTGTAACTTATTATGATATATGTAGAAAGATTGTTTGGCTAAACTCATATCAATTAAACAAACAAGCACTAGTATTAGAAAACAGAAATAGAGAATTTAAATTGGATAATAATGTAATGTTTATATCATTTACTATTACTTTTGTATTTTTATACTATGTATTATTAGCATATAGAAATTTATTTCAATGATATTACTATTGCATTCTGATGTTTTTTTTTTTCCCAGGCTAAAAAGTTATAGCATCTGGGGCGCGTGTGGTGCACTTTTTATTTTAGCTAATTAATAATTACACTATTTACAGTTCAAATATTTACAAATTTTTCTATTTATATAGTTTGTAGAAAAATTAAGACTTAACGTCTTAATTTCTCTTGCAATT